AGCTTGGCGTGCAAACCATTGGTTGGATCCGCACGTACCTCTGCTGCGGTGTGGAAAACCCAAGAGCAGCTTTATGGCACCCGTTCAGCAGCTCAAATTCGGAATATGAAAGATGTTTTCCGCCACACTCGACAGGGATCTAAGGCAGTGGGCGAGTATCTCCATCATCTCCGTACCCTCGCCGATGAATTAGCTAAGGCTGGCCACCTTGTTGATGACGACGACTTCGTCCTTCAAGCCATGGAGGGCCTCCGACCTGAGTTTGAATCCTTCACAAACTCTATTCGCACATGTGGAGATAACAGTTTCGGCAACATCTACGCCTTGCTCATCGGGTTCGAAGCTACTCTGCGGCGGAAGAGGCTCTGGATACGTCGGTTGGCGTGGTGACGACGAACAATGTTGCGATGGGGGACTCTGTCGCATTTACTACCCGCAGAACTCCAGGGCAGGCTAATAATAATACACCTTCCTTATTGGGCCCTGGCCCGTCTAATTATCAGCCCAACCGCACAAACAACTCAGCCCGGGGTTTTACTGGGAGTCAGCCCAAACACCAGCGGCCCAATTTTCCTCAAAATTCTAACCGACGTGGCCAGAATACTTTTCGTGGTACCAACAACAATATGATAACCCGCAACATCTCCGGGAATAGGAATCCCAATTTCGGAGCAAATATTATGTGCCAAATTTGTGGGAAACCAAACCACTCCGCTCTCAATTGTTGACATCGGTTTGAACAACAGGCTTATCCTCCTCAGGTCAACACGACTGTCACTAATCATAATAGATGGTTACATGATTCTGGAGCAACCAATCATGTCACCAACAACCTGAATAATCTTACCTTGGCATCCGATTATACTGGCACTGATTCTCTCGTTATCGGTAACGGTAAAGGTCTTGCGATAGGCGATAGCACAAGTTGGGCATATGACCCTTCACTCTCTTTCTCTACCTAATACCCTTTTTGTCCCTTCTATTCATACCAATTTAATTTCTGTCGCCAAATTATGTCGTGATAATGATGTACTAATTGAATTTCATTCTTCCTTTTGTCTCGTTAAGGACCGGCGAACGGGAGCAATTTTGTTACGGGGTATGAATAAAGGAGACGTCTACAGCTTGCCAGATGTACCCCCTCCACCATCTCCATCTGCTCACATCACACAAAAATATTCCCTTAATAATTGTCACTGTCGCTTAGGGCATCCAGCCCTCCCTATTACTAATTATTTTTTGTCGTCCTTAGGTATTTCCTTTTCCGATGTTACTTCGAATAATTCTTTGTGTGTCTCGTGTGCTAGTAATAAAAGCCATAAGCTGCCATTTGCAAAATCATCTCTTTCGAGCTTTGGACCTCTAGATTTAATCTATACAGATGTCTGGGTCCCGCTCGTGTTAATTCTATTGATGGCTTTCGTTACTATGTTATATTTGTTGATCATTATACCAAATATATTTGGTTTTATCCTATAACTCATAAAAGTGAGGTCACTTCACTCTTTCAAAAGTTTAAAAAGATTGTTGAAATCTTTTTTCAACGCACAATTAAAACAATTTATTCTGATGGGGGAGGCGAATACATAACCTTAGGGAAATTCTTAAGCACATGTGGGATTTCTCATTTATTTACACCTCCTTACACTCCAGAGCACAATGGCTTTGCTGAACGTCGGCATCGTCACATTGTGGAAACTTGTATCACCCTACTTCATCATGCATCTATGCCTCTTAAATTTTGGTCTTATGCTTTTCATACCGCAGTTTATCTCATTAATAGACAACCCGCTCTCTCTCTTAACTTCTGCACTCCATATGAAAAACTCTTCCAACAACCTTCTAATTACACTAAAACTTGCTGTTTTTGGGTGCCAATGTTTTCCGTGGTTACGTACCTATACCACTCATAAATTAGAACCACGCTCCAAACCATGTGTCTTCCTGGGATATTGTGACCAACAAAGTGCCTATCGTTGTCTTGATCTAACCACCAACCGTATCTTTGTCAGCAGACATGTTATGTTTGATGAGTCAGTCTTCCCTTTTTCTAAATCCTCACCACCCGTCTCAAATATCACTTCTGAAGTTGATCACTGGCTTCAGCCATGTCTTATTTTCCCATTTCAGGTACTCTGGCTGTGAGGGCGTCTCCTCCTACTCATACCTCGGCTCAACAATTGACTCTTGAGACGTCACCCACTACCTCTACTCAGACTGATATCCCGCTTTCTCCCCTCCCTAAACCCACACCACCACAAATTTTTACTTACCAACGCCGACCCAAACCCAATCCTCCTATTCCCCCCCTCGTTTACCCGCCACCGATCTCACCACCTCAAATCCACCCATCGATACTCCACCGCCCAAACGTACCCATCCAATGACCCTTCGACCCCGTAAACAAGCCAATGTTGCCACTGTTGATCCTTTACCTCACCATATAATTCCCACTTGTGCTTCTCAAGCTATGCCGGTACCAAAATGGCGGAGTGCTATGACAGTAGAATTTGATGCCTTGGTTCGACAGGGCACTTGGGATCTTGTTCTGGCTCAGCTTGGTCAAAATATTGTGGGTTGTAAATGGGTATATACAGTGAAGTATAAACCGGATGGCTCCTTGGATCGCTATAAGGCTCGGCTAGTGGCTAAGGGCTTCCATCAGCGCCCCGGGATTGATTATTCCGACACCTTTAGTCCGCTCATCAAACCGGTTACCATTCGTATTGTTCTGACTATTGCTCTTTCTCATGGTTGGCCAGTACATCAGTTAGATGTCAACAATGCATTCCTACATGGGACTCTTCAGGAGGAAGTTTACATGAAGCAACCTCCGGGCTTTAATGATGGTTCTGGGTTTGTTTGTCGTCTTCGGAAATCTATTTATGGCCTTAAACAGGCGCCTCGGGTGTGGTATCAATCTCTTAGTGGCTTTCTTCTGTCACTTGGGTTTTATCAATCGGTTGTTGATGCCAGTCTGTTCATTTTTTCCTCCCATCCATCTTACATCTATGTTTTGGTCTATGTGGATGATATTATTGTTACTGGCTCTACACCCGACTTGATACGTTAGAGTATTGACTCATTGGCCCACCGATTCTCTATCAAGGATCTTGGCTCCTTACACTATTTCTTGGGCATGCAGGTTACTCCTACACAGGGCGGACTCTTCCTTGATCAACATAAATACATTATGGACTTATTAAAAATGTTAAAAATGGATGAGGCCAATCCGGTGGCTACGCCGTTAGCTCCCTCTGCTTCATTAACCCTGTTTGACAGTTCAGGTTCATGTGATGCCACTCTCTATCACCAGGTCCTCGGGTCACTTCAATATTTGAATCTTACCCGTCCAGATGCTGCTTTTGCTATTAACAAACTGGCTCAATTCATGCATAAACCTACGGTCAATCATTGGCAACTTCTCAAACGTCTTTTGCGCTATCTACAAGGAACTGCTTCTCATGGCCTGTTTCTTTGTCCTTGCACATCCCCCTCTCTCCGTGCCTTTGCTGATGCTGATTGGGCAGGGAACCCTGATGACCGTTCTTCTACTAGCGCATATGCCATTTTTCTCGAGGAATCTCTTATATCTTGGAAATCAGTTAAGCAACGTACCATTGCTAAGTCTTCCACGGAAGCTGAATATCGAGCTCTTTCCACCGCTGCCTCTGAAATTATTTGGATTGAATCTCTGTTGCGTGAGTTGCGGCACCCGCTCCCTTCTCCTCCACTCCTTCTTTGTGATAACAAAGGTGCCACTACGTCTTCAGCAAATCCTGTCTTCCACACTCGCATGAAACATGTGGCAATTGACTTTCATTTTGTTCGGCAGCGGGTTCAACGTGGACTTCTTCAAGTTCATCACATTCCATCCTCTGATCAGATAGCTGATGCCCAACCGCTCCCCCGGCAACGCTTCATTCTTCTTAGAGACAAGCTCAGGATTCTTGGCAGTGACAGAATACCTGGCTTGCGGGGGCGTATTGAAGGAAAGAAATAATTTGTATTTAGAACACATAATTGTAGTTAGCCGTTACATACCTTTGGCATTTACAATTGTATTATTATTTACCTTATATACATGATTAGGAGATGTATAAATAGCAACCTTGTAGCCAGTTTTAACACACAGAAATATATTCAAAACATTTGTTCTCTTCTCTCTATTAAAGTGTAGCCATGAGAAAGGAATTCTGTTCAGGAATACTCAAAATAGACAAATAGAGGTGTTTACAGACGCTGACTATGCCGGAAATAAAACTGATAGGCAATCTACATCAGCTTATTGTACATTTGTATGGGGTAATCTTGTTACTTGGAGAAGCAATAAACAACATGTAGTATCCAGGAGCAGTGCAGAAGTCGACTTTAGAGCAATGGCGCAAGGGGTATGTGAAGTCATATGGGTGAAACGAGTATTAAAAGAATTGAAAGTTCCATCAGAGAAGCCTATGAGGTTGTACTGTGATAACAAATCAGCTATTAGCATTGCACATAATCCAGTACCACATGACAGGATGAAACATGTGGAAGTTGATCGCAATTTTATCAAAGAAAACCTCGAAAGTGGAGAAATATGTATGCCTTATGTTCCAACAACTGAACAACTAGCAGATGTGCTCACTAAAGGTTTGTTCAAGGGAATGTTTGAAGAAATTTTAGTCAAGCTGGGCATGATTGATATCTTTGCTCCAGCTTGAGGGGAGTGTTAAATAATAGGATAAATACGTATTTAGATAAGTCTATTTAGAGGTCTGTTGTAACTAGTCAATACTGTTAGCATATTATTAGCATAGATCCTATTTTCTAGGAGTTAGTTGATTAGATTATACTCTATTTAAATCAGATCCGTGTGAATGAATTATAGATCAGTCAGATCATTTTTAACTCATAGAAGACTTATTCATTGTTTTTTTTTGTTTTCTTTATAACATTACATGTCTCTTTTATAGTAGTAGCATTCTTCACTACTCTGATAATCTCTTTCTTTCTGACAGCACCACGAAGAAAGCGGATATTCAAAAGTCAGATTTGGAGTTGCTGACTTATTTCTTCGGTGCAAGAAGCAAGGGGAGTCAACTGCTGAAAGCTGTGTGTTAAAACGTATGGGTAGCAGTATGAGTTTGAAAGATGATGAAATTGTGTGGAGCATACCAGCGGGTATGAAGGCACATTCAAGTATTGTATCTGCTGTTACTTTTACATCCGCATTATTATCAGCAGTTGGGATTATCATTACTTCCTTCCGAAGCAATCCTAATTAGTGTAGTTCTATAATTTAGTACTGCAAAGAGCGCAGATAATATAGGTACTCGCCCCCATTGATTTCATTTTCCTTTAATTTACTTACTTCCTTCCTTTTCTCGTCCCCTTGTCAATCCAACGGATGCTTCTGAATCACTGAATGTACATAATCCAAGTCTGGTTTTTTTTGTTAATGAAAGATTTGATTACTTGTGCGTATATAGCTAAAACAGGTCAAGTTATCTGTTGCTACTGCTTTGAAACCTGAATTTAAATGTGTAGCTGTCTGAGCATGCCTAGTTTGGATGGAAATAAAAATATTTTACTATGCTTTGAGATTAACCCAAAGCTACTATATAGAAGAGGTAAATTCTTGATTGATTGTTTACTCGGAATAAGTATAAATAGAAAATGATTGTATACATAAGTATAAATAGAATATGATGGAATAAAGTAAAATGGCTCACTAAACTGTTTGCGTTTCATTATTATGAAGCAGCACCTAGTCCATCCAATTTTGGATGCAATTTTTACTCTGGGTCATGCGGAAACAGTCTATGTGTTTTAGTACAGAGGTAAGACTGCGTATATTAGTACATCCGACCCCCCTTACCCCACCGTAGGTGGGAGCCTTTGTGGCATTGGAGCATCAGGAGCCTTTGCGGCACTGGGGTAATGATGATGAATGATGATGGTGACTGACAATAAAGCAAATTGATCACTGTCAACACTCAAATTAGTTTTAGAAAATAAAATTTGCATATTTAGAAACTACATTAAAACCGTTACAAAATCTGCAAAACATAATTCAAATTTCATAAACTTTTGATATATAAAGTAAAAGATTAAAATTGATTTATGTTGACTAAGTGAATAGTAAATGTATCTTACAATTTGGGACTGAGGGAGTAACATGTAATATAATTATATACTACATCCGTCTCAAAATGATAATCCTATAGTTCCTTTTTGGGATGTCCCAAAATGATAGTCCTGTTTCTTTTTTTGGAAAGAAAGATTTGGTCCATATCATTTCACTTTATTATACTCAAATCTCAACCACAATTTTTACCTTTTCAATCACTTCATTAAAACATGTGCCAAAAGAAATGAGACTATCAAATTGGGACGGAGGGAGTACTACGTATTATATAGGGATAATTTGAGTTTGCACCCAATTTTATTATCCAAATTAGACTTTGCACCCTGTTTTTGAAATCATTAGTATATTCACCCCAACCTCGTATGAAAAGACAAAAATGCCCCTCGATCAGGATTATGTTGAAGGCCAACAAAATTGTTAATTGAGGGGCATTTTAGTCTTTTCATACGGGGTTGGGGTGCAAATACTAAAGATTTCAAAAACGGGGTGCAAAGTCTAATTTCGACAATAAAATGGGGTGCAAACTCAAAATATCTCTATTATATATACATGTAGGTGTGGTCGTACTTTCTTTTACATACTCCCGGACAAACAGTTTAGTTAGTGATCCACTAGTTTGACCCTTGGCCCAGTGTGCTGAATGGGTTCACATTCATTCGAAGTTTTAAACTTCGCATCATTGTGACAAAAAATGTTTGAAGCAGAACTCTCGTTGAAATGAAGTATTGTTTAACTAAAAAATGTCTCGCAAGCACACATTTCTTCAATTTGGAGTATACACAAACAATGTAATTAGAGTCTCATACTATGTTTTTAATTGGGCTAAAATTTTTATGAACAATCGAGCTAATTCCTTACCAATAATCCAACAAAGCCCAAGCTAATTAATGAGAGTGGGGTGAAATATTGTTCTCCCTTTTGCTCTTTCTAGCCCAAATTCTGCAGATCTTTTTTTTAAAGAGTATGCGACACCCATAAACTCAGAAGTACTTGCAGATTGATTTAGTAGGACAACCTGAATCATATGTCTCCTCTATATTCCTATAGTTATGTCATTTTTGGTAATCCTGTTGTTCAACCTAGCAACTAGCTCGACTCGGTTTGAGAAGAGGAATGTGCTCTCTAAGGTCACTAGTTCAAGAAGAGAAGGTCTATGTGAGATATACCCGACCTGGTCCTTGGGATAAGTCAGTCAATATGGTGTGGAGACAGATGATAATTGAAAAAATGTTGAATTTTGTTGCTCCTACTAGACTGTCAAAGTGTGTGTTCATGTGCCAAGAAAAAATATACATTCTCTATTTTCTATCCTTTTTCCTTCAACTTTTCCTCTGGTCCTCCTACCCCCTCATATTTTCATAATTCCAGATGAACACCGAGGGCTTGGGAATTTCGGAATGAAAATATGGTAAGAGGTGGTATTTTAAAAAAAATTATTTCTAAATTTATAGCGCTGGAATTAACAAATGAAGATAAATTAGTAAAAAATCAACCAAACCCTCTTCCCTTGGAAATCCACAGACCAAACCTTGGCTAAGGTTTTCATGGAAATGCAAGGTAAATTGAGTAGCTGATTGTCAACAATCTTAAGTGACAAGTCATAATGCCCACAAGTATCAGAAAGCAGTTTATAATAGTAGTCAAGAATACTTGCATCAGTCATTCAACTCCAAACAACTCACTTCTACAATAAAACTGAGCCCATGCTTCCCAAAGAGATCAAAAGGTATGAGAACCTATCCCATTCAAGTAAAGATGTTCTAGTTTAAGGATTTGATTTTGGTTTTCTTCTCCTTGTTACTATTAGTCTGTTTCTTTTGGTGTTGATTTGACTGCACGTATTTAGAATTCTAGCTAAGCCTTTCCAGCATCCTGATCCATGTTGTAATGCCGGTATTATTTCATCTTTATAGAATTAACTCTACTGCATAATCATCTTCTACTGCTATTAGTGATACACTTACAGTGCTATTGATTTTCTTGTGTGACATTCTATACCCACATAATCATGCAGTTTCAATAGCCAATTTAGCTGGACTTTGTTTAAGGTAGACAGAACATGGGGACAGCTCAGTACGAAGTTTCATAAAACATGTGCTTTGATCCTTTTGAAATCTGCGCCATCTGGGCTTGTGACCAGACACGTTTTGAGCACAACAGCACATGGAATTTTCTTCCTTGTCTCTACATTATGCTTTTAATTCATGTCCAGCTTTATATTTGTTGATCTTGTTATTTTTTTCATTTAAATGATGTATTGGGGTAGTTCAACATATGTGACTGATTCTTAAGTTTTGGGTGTGCTGAGTTCAAACCCAGGTTATATAGAGATTCAAGATACTACGTACATTCTCATCTAACTTTAGAGAGAATAGGTTCAAGCGGTCAAAAAAGACAGATACGAAGTATTAGTTATAAGATATAAGTACATGTAAATAAACAATTATCATCAGCATTATAAAGAGATATATTTATTGCTAACAAGTTCATAGAAGGTGCTTCAATGAGAGTTGCGCAACTAATAACTACAATACTCAAAATTGATCACTCAAACTAGAGAATGACAGTGATACGTGTGCAAAGTTTGTTCAGAAATATACGCAGATTTGACAAGATAATTGATGAAGCTCGTAATGATGTGTGTTGGGATTGAGGTGGTCCCTAGCCAAATCACTCGGGCATAATTGTTTGTACACATTTTTTATACTTTTTTGTGTACACTTGAAAGTGTAAGTTTTTTAAGGATGACACTCCATCCCTGAGGGCCCCCAACACCGACTGTATGGTAGGTTGGGAGGATGTAATTTGGATTATAATCTCAATCTGACAGATAGAGAGTAGGGTTCTGTCCCCGGTACTTGCAGAGGTCCTATGCATTTTCAGGATAGTAATCTCCCATCGCAGTTGCCGGGATTTGAAACCGGGATCTAACCCTTGTGGCACTCTCTTGCTACCAGTTGAGCTACGTCTACCGGTAAAGTGTAAGTTTTTTGTGCACATAAACAAGTGTGTTGGACGTGCATGAAATTGATGAATTTGATTTTGAGTGATTATTAAGGGCTAGGGTTGGGCCGATTCCGGGCCGGGCCTGATCGGGCTTTTTTTGGGGGAAGTGGGGTCCGGAACCGGCCCGGGTAGCCAGCAGAAATTTTTTGGGGAAATTTCAAAATGTTTTTACTCGTATTTAGAATTTTTCTCTTACTTTTATCATCTAAGCAAGACTCAGTCCACCGCATAAGAAGCTTATAATATAGAGCTCTTTTGATAACAATGAAATTGAATGAACAAGCTTAATTTGATGAAATTGGACTAAAGCGAGTGAATTGGTTGAATCTGCGGAATTCTTAATAACATAGTTAAAATTGTCATCCAGAGTAACTTTGGCCATATCAATCACAAAAGTATTTAAAACGTATTTAATTTGATTATTACAAAATTAAGTTCGACAAATCAAAAGTTTCGTGTTTAATAAAAAATTAATTGATAAAATCGATAAGCTAAAAATAGAAGCTAGCAAATGGGCTCCTAATTCTTCATATTAGAGGCTCAAACAATAAAAATCCAATCTAAAGCTCTAGATGATGTAAGCATCTTTCTAACTCATGAAACTTTTGTGATACAAATGCACAAAAGATGCTTAGTATTCACTAACATTTTGTGATACATTTCTTTGATAAAATGTTTTTGCCAAAAAAGGCCACAAGCTGATTGATTGATTGAACCACGAAGTGTATACATCCTTGGGTGGAATTAATTGGTACCCGAAGATAGGAGCAACCAAATATAGATTCTGCTGCGTTTGGACGAGTGAAAATGAATATTCAGGATATAACACCCTGTTACACTGTAATTTATTTATTTATAGTTGCTGGCCAAACTGTCCTTGTCTCTCAAAATAGAAATATCTGTTTCTTTTGGAGAAAAAAATCAAAATGAAAAAAATAAATATCCAGACCAGTCTGTTTTGGATACCCAGAATGAGGACCAATCAAAAGCATATGCAGCACATGCCCACATAAAGCCATCTTTATTATTTTTTTTTTTGCAAAAAACATTAAATGAAAAAAATCAGTACGGAATTGAACACTTCCGTTCAGCTAATTTAGAGCACGTAACATTGTTGGTGTAATAATTTAGAATGTGCATTAATTGAATAAATAAAATATTTAGAGTTATTAAAATTATAAAAATATAAATAATGAGATAGAAAAATGTAAAAAAAAAGGTGTGAGAAAATAGGCAGAGCAGGTAGTAGATGTCACTGCAGTCCGTAACACACCATGTGAGGGCATAACATGAAAGGGGCAGTGCTGTCTATTTCTTCACTCTCATTATCATGTGAGCCTATTTAGCTGCCCCTGGCCTGCCCGTAATTATAGGTGCAAAATCTAAGTTGCACACATGTGATCATACAATCATGACTCAAATAACAAATAAATTACTCCGGTTCTCAAAGAGCTTCACAGTTTGACTTCACACAGATTAAAAAAATAAATTTGACTTTAATGTGGAGTGGATTGTTTGGCACTGTTTGACACTGTTTTGCACTGTTTTGGTGTAGATAATTTGCCAAATAAGGAAATAAGAAGAAATGTGAAGTTAATTTCAGGACTTCCTGAAAAGAAAAGTGAGAAATTGTTTGAGAACCGAAGGGAGTAATAAATAGATAAATGCAAAATTTAACAAAAAACAATGCAGGAAATGGAGTCTGATCGTCTGAATCTGCGAAAATTACGAAGATCTAGTTGAAACGGCTGAATGATAATCACAATATTATTGAAATATTTTTATAATTATAAAAAAGAAATGACTATATAAAAATGAACTAAAGTGGTCTTCTAGAATAACTTCAGCTAGAAAAGGTAATTACTTTAATTATTATTCGTAATTAGTGGAAAAGTTATTAACTCATAAATTGATTTGCTAAAACTAGAAATCTAACAAAATATGACTTTTATGAATTCCGAAATTTGTTGCCATTAATGGAATAGAGTTTTCATGTTACATTAGAAAAGCCAATGTGTTTATTTTAATACTTTTCAAATCTTGATTGCTAACCGATGTAGGTCAACGTATAAAGCTGAAAGCTACTTCTATTTATAAGATTATAATCACATTAATCGCACACGATAGAAATCCAAATTTCAATACTCCCTTCCTCCCTTAAAACTTTACCAAGTTTGACCGACACGGGGATTAATAAAATAAAAACTGTGTGGTTGAGGTTTCTGCAGAGGAGAGAGAATTATCCGGAACCACAAATTCTTTACTTAAATGGCAAAAGTGGCGAAGTTAGTGAGACATCCAAAAAAGAAAAATTGACAAAGTTTTAAGGAACGGAGGTAGTATAATACGGAATATTGTATGTTCAATTCCCACCTAGTAGAGATCAGACATGTTTTGTTTCACATCATTCTTCCTATTTTTACAAAGCAGCTCAACAATTGAGCAAATAGATTATAACGAGGTAGCGGATTCATGTTACGGGAGGTTAACCCTCAAATGGTAGTTCATACATTCTAAGATTATGAGAGCGTAAACTCCAATTCGATGTTTGATTTTTTTTAGATACGTAGTAGTTTTTAAGTCATTCTTCCTGATGGATAGTCTACCCGGGGGGTATATATCCGAGGGGTTATTGCTGAGAATAACTTAGAGAGAAGTCAGAGCAAGTAAATGTAGAGAGAGAGGGTGTATTATAAATGTGGAGCGTTTTCAGCGTGGTTACAAATGGGGAAATGGGGTGCTATTTATAGTAGCAATAAATGCCGGACAGGGACACGTGTCAAGCGCCTATTGGCCGAGGGGTCACCTCAACTGGTTGGCGTTGGCAGCCGCATGTGGCCGCATTTAATGCGGTTGTTGGATGGGACGTCTGTACAGGGTACGGTGATCTGTACGCATGTGAGGCGGATATCATGTCGGGAGAGGTGCCCTCGGCTGCAGAGGGCTAGCCGAGGGCTCTTAGTGCCGGGGACCCCTGAGTGCCGAGGGCTCCAGGTGCCGAGGGCTACTGTTTTCGCCGTTTTCTCCCAGTTCCTCTGTTTGTTCGAAATATCCACGCTGTGATAGTTTGGAGCCTTCGGCCAAGGGCCGAAGGCACACCTGGTGCGTATTGTGGGCTGCTTGGTACTCTGGGCGCCGTGATTTGGGTCTGTTGAGCCTTCTGGGCCTGTTGTCCTGTCGTGATCTCTGATGTTGGTGAGGAGTTGTTGCTTTTATGTCCCTGCCGAAGGCAGACCCTCAGTTACCCACATGTCGGGACTTGAGGGCTTGCCTTGTCGTTTTGTTGGAATTTCACTAATTTTGTAATTTAATGATTTTCCCGAGGGGGTCCTCCAGTCCCCCACTCCTTGAGGCACTTGTAAAGTGGTGAAAAGGAGTAGAGTGGTTGCGTTGCTGTTGTGGGCCGAAGGTTGACGCTTTTCGTTTCATTTTGGGGGGATGCCTCGTTAAAAACCTCATTAGAAAAAACCCTGTGGGAAAAAATCCTAATGAGGGAAAAAGAGTGCACCGAATTCCCCCAATGATGAATTGAAAATGTGAAACCTTGGTAAAAAATGGAGAATAAAGGTAATGCCGAAGGCTCTTCTTCTTCTGAGGGCTCATGTGTTGATTGGCCGAAGGCTTGCTGTTGATGTCCTGGGGGTGCCGAAGGGGAGCCCCTCCATCTGGGGACCGAGGGCCTGATGGATGAGGGCAGCAGTGGAGTTGTTACCGGGGGGTCCACTGTTTGTTGATTAGTTGGTGATGAAGATACCCGAGGGCTCCCATTACCTGTGTGCCATGGGTTATCCGTCAATGAGGCAACTCCCCGGGGGCTACCCGGTTCTTACAGTGCTGAGGGGGAATCCCCGAGGGGTGCCCTGATATGAAGCCTTGGGTTTCTGAAGGAGTGATCCCGAAGGCGTCTCTGGATAAGTGTACCCGGAGGCTCTCCTTGATGAAGTGGAGTGAAGCAGAAAACCCGGGGGCTTCCAGAATATAGCCGTTGGAAATATAGCCATTGGAATATGTAACGTCAGGATATAGCCGTTGGGGGGGGGGGGGGGTACACGTGGCGCGTGACGGTTAGCTGCCCGTGGGCGGCGTCACCGGTTGGGTGAAAACACGGTGTGTAATGATGACGGTCCGTCCGGAGGCCCGGTTTCCGGGCCCAAGCCCGGACTCCAGCGCCTATAAATACCCCAAGGCCAGGCATCCCTCCGTGTGCGAAACCTTGTTAGCGAAGCTCTGCCAATTTTTCTAGAGAGAGAAACAGCAGCCCTCGGTTGAATCCTCTGTTCTTAAGGTCAGTTCTCCACTTGCCCTTCACCTCTTAGCTACCTGTATTGTGCCCTTAGGCTAGGAGATAGAATATTTAGAAAACACTAGCGTCTACGAGCCTTCGAACTAGAGTCAGAATGTCGTCCTAGAGTGATTCTCAAGATATCTCGGGGGCGCCCTCGATGGAGGATGAAGTCCTCTCGGACGTGGAGTCCTCAAGTGCACAGTCTTCGGTGGGACAGGATGCCGTCGTTGCCCTGGAGTTGCAGAAAGCCCTCGTAGCTGAGGCGGAAGCCGAGGGCTTCGAGCAAGAATGTGAGGACGAAGAGTTGGCCCTAGCCTGGCAAGCAGCTGAAGAGGAGGCACAAAGAGAAGGCGCGAGGGTCACCGTTGCTGTGCTCCCCCCTCGGGGTGCCGGTGAGGCCAGCACCTCTCGGCCGCTGAATGCGGTCCCCATCCGGGTGGCCCCCGGAAAGAAGAAGGCCAAGGCCGCTGCTCCCAAGAAGAAGGGCAGCGTAGCAGACCAAGGGAAGCCCCTCGATATGCCCGAGGGGTATTCATATTTGAACACTGCCGCCCTGGAGATAAGGTCGAAGGCTGATGCGGCGGACATCTACGTCACTCAACTACACGTGGGCCCCTCGGCCATCGTGGTGACACCGGGTCCAGATGACGTCCTCTCCCGGGCTCCCGAGGGCTGTATAGCGGTGCATGTTCTCTCGGTGTCCATGGGGCTCCGCTTCCCCCTGCACCCTTTCCTCCGGGAGTACCTTCGGTTCGTGGGTCTGGTCCCCTGCCAGCTGACCCCGAATAGCCATTCCTATATCACTGGCTTCCTCCAACTCTGCAAGTCCCGGGGGGTGACGCCTAGCCTGGACCTCTTCTTCCAGAGCTTTAATTTGTGCCGGGGGGGGGGGGGGGGGGGGGGCACGCGAATGCCGAGGGCTTCGCCAACTTACAGCAGGTGGCCCTCTTCAAGCTCTTTACCGAGGCGCCCTCCTCGAACAAAGGGTGGAAAGACTGGTGGTGCTACGTGAGGCTGACCGAGAGCCCCTTCCCGAGGGAATTGCGTGACCGGTTCAGGAGGCATGAGAAGAGGAGGAGCGCCGCCCTCGAGAAAGACGGCAGGATCCTGGCCAAGATCCCGGAGGGCCGGGACAAAAACATCACCATTAAGGAGTGCACCAAGGAGGAGGATCTCTACACCCTCGGGTTCAGGCGGTATCGCTTTCTGGGGGAGACAGATGAGAAGTTCCCGGCATTCGAGGGAGCCTCCGGAGGTAGTGGCTGAGGGTACCCTTATTTTATGTCTTAGCAGATAGTCCCTCTACTTGTTCGTTTCTTTTTTGTGCTATCTGTTAGTGACCCCTCGATCTTAACCCCATATTGTTTTTGCAGGTGTCAAGATGGATCTCAACGCCTTCGCCAACCTCAAAAAACAGAAGGCGAAGGTGCCGGGCCAGAAGGAGCCCGCAAAGCAGAAGCCCCTCGGGGAGACGAAGAAAGGCGGTGAGCCCTCGGGGGAGGCCGCAAAATGAAAGGCCGCCGGCAAGGCCCCAGTCCCCGAGGGGAAGAAACAAAAGAAGGGGGACGCCGGGAAGAAGGCTCCCTTGGTGTTGGTGGTGGATGAGCATTCTGCCTCGGAACCCAGTGCTCCGACTGCTCCTTGCCCGCCCTCGGGCAAAGGTGGCGAGGTAAGCTTGCCTCGGGAGGACATACAGTTCTCCCTGCCGAAGGGGTCTGCCATCACGCATGGCACAATGGACCCCCGGGAATTTCTTGGCGGGGCTACACCCGCTCTAGACAGGCGGGCCCTCGGGAAGCTGGATGACGAAGCTCTCGAGTCCAAAATCCTCCGGTCCTCTCTTACCGTAAGTTCTCCTCCTTCCTCTCTTCTTCTTTCTTTTTCAACAGCGTCGTGGCCCATGACTTTATCTGTTTGTGTGATCATAACTTTGTTGTTTGTCTAAACAGGCTTGCATAGCCCTCGGCGAACACGCCAGGAGATTCGACGAATGGCGCCTCCAGAGGGCGCAACAGGAAGAGTCCCTCAAGAAGCTCATCCACGATAACGCTGAGGCCATGAGGCAGATGGCTCAACTGGAGAGGGACCTCCAGCAGGCGAGGGCGGAAGCAGAGAGAGCCTCCCGGGAGAGGGTGGAGATGGAGAAGGCGGCTGCCGAGGCTGCGAAGAAGGACCTTGAAGATGCCGAGGCCGCCAAAGTAGAGGCCGCTGCTGCTGCAGTTGCTGCCTTCATGACCGAGGGCTGGAAGGCCGAAGGCCATAAAGACTGGGTGGCCTCGGTCATGGAGAGTTCTGCCGAGGGGTGGGTGAAGGGCCCCTGGGCGATGTGGCTAGCCCGAAAGGGCGAAGATTACTACGCCGGGGGGGAGTTCTTCACCCAGGCCCTGATCTACAGGAGGCTCGCCCGGCACCTGAAGATAGAGCCAACGGCCTTCGACCCGGCGGCGTACGGTCTCCCCCCCTCCAGCCTGATATCAGAGTCCCCCTCCCCGAGGGCGTCGAGAGGCCAGAACTGGAGGATTCGGAACTCCTGAAAGAGGCCGAGGGCGATGAAGCAGAGGCGGATGCGGAGGTCATCTCGAAGCTTGCGGAAGAAGCGGCCCCCGGGAATGACATTGTTTGATGTGTAATCTGTACTCAGTATTTTGAACTCTTTGTAATAGCCACATTAGCATGTTTTCGGCCTCGGCCACCATTGTAATAACTACCTTTACTCTTTGTTGTGATGAATGAATGATTGCCTTCGGGCTTTGTATATATGGCTTGTTTTCCTTAATTCATTTCTTCTTGAATGTATGCCTTCGTCTCGTTTTGGATGTATGTCTTTGCTCCTTTGAATGTATGTTTTAGGACTTAGAATATTTTCTGATTGTAGCTTGCCCTTGGAAGCCTTCGGTTGTTGGGCACCCTCTGCTGGATATACGACCGAGGGTTTAGCAATAATTAGGACTTAGAAAAATTTCCAGGTGTAGTTTTTGCCCTCGGATGCCCTTGGCTGGTAGCCTCCTTCCTGATGCGTGAATATTGGACCGAGGGCCCGATGTACAGGACTTAGAAATTTTTTGCAAGTGTAGTATGTCATGTAGCCTCCGGCTGCTGTGGAGTCCCAACTGAAATATTGATTAGGCCGGGGGCCAATTCTTTAGGACTTAGAAAATTTTCCTAAGTGTTTGAATACGGGTGTACTGTAGCTTTTGATTGATAGGTAACCTTCGGCTATTAGGTCCCTTGAGATGAGGGTGAAATATGTAGGACTTAGAAAGATTTCTAAGTGTAGATTTTCCCTTGGGAGCCTTCGGGAGACGGCATCCCTTCTTGATGTATGAGTAGTCGACCGGGAGAAAAAAATGTAGGACTTAGAAAATTTTCCAAGTGTGGATTTTTCCTTGGGAGCCTTCGGGAGATGGCATCCCTTCTTGATGCATAGCCTTCGACTGTCATATTCATTTAGCTGTAATATTGATTGGGCCGGGGGCCCAATCTTTAGGACTTAGATTTTTTTCCAAGTGCTGCTTCCTAGTGTCGCCTTCGGGTGATAGGTGCCCTCTGACTCTGCGTCCTTTTGCGGGATGCCCGAGGGTTACGCATTTAGGACTTAGAATATTTTCTAAGCGTAAATTGATGTTGAGCTTCTGGATGTAGATCCCTCCGGGTATTTGAATAGGACCCTCCGGGTGATCGTGAGGCCCTTGTGTTGTATGAGTCTTTGGCCGAGGGCCAAATATGTGGGACTAAGCAAAATTTCACAGAGTGTCGTGGATGTTGAACCTTCGGTCAGTGGGGAGTCTGTCTGGGGGGCAAATATTTTGGAATAGTCCCCCTCGGTTGGCTTTTGATGATTTGTAATATATGCCTTTGGTTGTCTGGTGATATATTAGCCTCCGGTTGCCGTCATTTTCCAAAAGTGTGGACTTAGGAAAAGTGTGGAATCATGTTGTTGTGAAGAAAGCCAATGATGAGTGTGTGCCCTCGGCATACACTCTGAAAAGTTGTAGAGTCTGACTTAGCCAGTTGCGTCCCTTGTAATGGGGTAGGGGCCCTCGGTATTAGTGCATAACAGATGCCTTCGGTATTTGTTTGAGTAATATCCTTCGGGAAATAGGAGTCTTCAATTACCGGAGGTGTTCCCGTGGGGAGCCCTCGGCATGTTGTGATCTGTTGGAGTGTACTCTTCGATTTCTCGCTGAGTCTACTCCCCTTCACCCCCTCTCTTTTTTTTTTATTTTTTTTTATGGTTGGTGGTGAAGGGAAGGCATCAAAAAACTTGGTTTCTTGGTAAGGCTGGGCCTATTAGGAGACCATCAGAATACACCAATGGCTCTCCTCCCTCGGGTTAACCTTCCGAGTTCCGAGGGGATCGAGGGTCGTTTCCTGGGCACAAGATATGGTGGTCTGTAACCTGCCTCCCCTTGGGGGTTGGCGCGGAAAGCGCCTCATTTTTGAAAGTCGTCCCCTCGGCGCTAGACATAGTCCGTGGCCTGCCACACCCTTGGGGTGGTGGCGCGGGGAGCGTTTCGGTTTGGAAGTCGAATCCTGGGCATTTCTCGTGCCTGTCATACCCTTGGGGTGATGACGCGGATAGCGTTCCGTTTTTGAAAGTCGAATCCTGGGCATTTCTCATGCCTGTCATACCCTGGGGGTAGTGATGCGGAAAGCGTTTCAAGGAATGGTTTTCATTTGCTCACTAGTTGCAAATGGTCGGGGGCACTACGTGCCGCCGGCACCGATGGTGGCGCCTTCGGTATATGCGTCCTCATGGGGTACGGCTTTTAGAAACAACACTTGGTGTTAGTTTCGATGTGTAGCCCCCGGTACTTGGTACCGAGGGGTCTTCTGTAGGAACACTTGGTGTTCTGATTGGAGTGTTTGGTGCCGGAGGGCCCTCGGAGGAAACACTTGGTGTTTCCCAACAGGTGTTTGGAAGTTGATAGGAGAGCATATCCCTGGCACTGGGTGCCGAGGGGTCTTCTTTGAAACATTCGGTGTTTTTCTTCGTTTTGATGTTGGTGATGTTGGTGTACCCTCGGCACTGGGTGCCGAAGGGGATTTAAACACACGACGTTCCTTGTTGTTGGTGATAGGAGTTCCCTCCCTCAGTACTTGGTACCGAGGGGTCTTGTGTGAAAACACGTGGTGTTCTCCTGTTGTTGTAGGTGTTGATGGTGTCCGCCCTCGGCACTTGGTGCCGGAGGGGGTTCTTCTCGTGGTGAGGCCTGGGGCCTGTAGTCAGTATGAGGGCTTGGCGTTTCGAATGTGTCTTCATTCCTCAAAAGTGGAGGCCTTGGGCCAAAGGGTAGTACATTCATTAGTTATGAGGGCTTGGCCGCTCTTACATTATTGGTAAAATTTAACTAAATGGTGTACATTCCAGTACCTAGGGACCTCTTTCCCGTTAGGGCGTTTTAGCTTATAAGTCCCAGGTTTGATGATGGCTGCTATGATGTAGGGGCCTTCGAATTTTGGTGCCATTTTTCCTCCCTCGGTTGGTTGGCTGGCTTCCCTCCGGAGGACGTAGTCTCCCACTTGAAATTCTCGGGTGCGAACTTTGGCGTCGATGTAGCTTTTGACTTGCCTTCGATAATTTTCTGCCCGGATGAAGGCCTGCTCCCGGCGTTCTGAAATGAGGTGGAGGTCGAGGGCCATGTTGCTGTCGTTGACCTCGAGGTCATATTGGATCACCCTTCGGGTGGGAAGGGTGACTTCCGTAGGAGCTTTGGCTTCAAAACCGTAGCAGAGGGAGAAAGGTGTTTCACCTGTTGCTCGCCGAGGGGTGGTGCGGTAGGCCCAAAGGATGTTGTGGAGTTCTTCCACCCAGCCACCGCCCTCGCCCTCCAGCTTCTTTTTGAGGCCCTCGAGCATGGTCCGGTTGGCATTCTCTACTTGCCCGTTGCCTTGAGGGTAGGCAACGGAGGAGAAGGTGTGTTTGATGCCCCATGCCTCCAGAAGGGCACAGAAGGGGGCTGCCTCAAACTGTGTTCCGTTGTCGGAGATGATCTGCTGGGGGACGCCAAACCTTGTGAGGATGTTCTTGAGGACGAAATGACGGCACTTCGCCTCTGTGATACTGGCGAGGGGCTCAGCCTCCACCCACTTGGTAAAGTAGTCGATGACCACAATGATGTACCTGTTGTTGGAGGTACCCCTCGGCAGAGGGCCCACAAGGTCTATCCCCCATCGAGAAAAGGGGACGGATGTGGTGATGGGGGCATAGTTGACCGCTGGCCTGCCGGGGGCTTTCTGGAAATGTTGACATGCGGTGCACCTTCGGGCAAGGTCAGCACAATCTCTGGCCATGGTCGGCCAAAAATAGCCCTGGAGAATGAGCCTTCGGAACATGGAGAAGGGTCCCTGGTGAGCTGAGCAAGTGCCACTGTGCACTTCCTCCATTGCGACCTCGGCTTCATCTTGATGAAGGCACCGAAGTAGCGTGCCATTGTAAGATCGTTTGTAGAGCCTTCCATCTTCGATGGTGTAGCTAGGAGCCCTCAGTTTTGCCAGTTTAGCGCGGGTCTCATACTCGGGTAGCTGCCCCGTGGAGATGAAGGCGGTGATATCTGAGATCCAATCCTCTTGGCGTTGTTGTATGTTCATAACGGGGCTTGCATGGATACTTGAGAGGCTGAATTCCTCAATTTTGGCAATTTTGGAGATGTGCTCGGGGGAGTCGGCCGAGAGCTTAGATAATATGTCGGCCTTGGAGTTCTGAGCCCTCGGTATTTGAGTGAGAGAGTGTGCCTCGAATACCTTAAGCAACTCCTTGGCCGCTTCCTTGTATTGTTTCATTCTTCCCTCCTTGGCCTCATATTCCTCGGAGATTTGGCCGACGACCAACTTGGAGTCGCATTTGATGTGGATCTGCCGAGCCCTCATGTTGGCAGCCAGCCGAAGGCCACATAGGAGGGTCTAATATTCGGCCTCGTTGTTGGAGACTTTGAAGGAAAAGCGGATTGCGTAGTAGGCTCTGAAGCCCTCGGGAGTAATGAGGACCACCCCTCCCCCGCATGCTTTGGTCGTGGAGGAGCCGTCGGTGTAGAGGGTCCACCAATCGTCCGAGGTAGCCGAGGGCTCCCCGTCCGTGGCTGCCCTTGCGGTACACTCCGTCACAAAGTCCGCCAGGGCTTGGCCCTTGATGGCAGGCCTCGGACGGATGTCAATGTTGTACTGGCTCAAG